AGAGAGAAACCAATGGAGAGTGAAAAACATTGCAGTCACATCCAGCTCATGCTACAGGGGATCTAGCCCACAACCTAGGCATGTGCCTGAATGGGAATCAAACTGGCAACCTTTTGGTGCATGGGACGATGCACAAGTAACTGAACCACACCAGCCAGGGCCTAGTTTATTTTTCTTAAATTCCTTTTTTTTATATTTTATTGTTGACATTATTACAGATGTCTCCCATTTCCTCCCTTTATGCATCCATCCACCCAACCCCCTCTCACCTCCCCCAGGTCTTTCCCCATTCTATTGTCTGTATCCATGGGTTATGCTTATATGTTCATATGTTCTTTGACTAATCTCCTCCTGTGCTCTCTCTCCCAACTCCCTTCCCCCCCTTTCACACACACACACACACACACACACACACACACACACACACACGTCTATTATTCTGCTTCCTGCTTCCATACCTCTGGCCTTTTTTGTTCATCACTTTATTTTGTTCTTTAGATTTCACTTATAAGTGAGATACCCATCTTTCTTTAACTGACTTGTTTTGCGTAGCATAATACTCTCTGGGTCCCTCCATGCTGTTTCAAACAGATATCCTTTTTTTACAGCTGCATTGTATTCCATTGTGTAAATGTAACACAGCTTTTTTATCTACTCATCTTTGATGGGCACTTGGGCTGTTTCCAGATCTTAGCTATTGTAAATAATGCTGCTATGAACATAGGAATGCCTGTATTCTTTCTAATTTGTGCTTTGAGATTCTTAGGATATACCAGTATTCCCAGAAGTTGATTGCTGGGTCAAATGGCAAATCCATTTTTAATTTTTTGAGGAATCTTCATACTGTTTTCCATAGTGGCTGTAGTAGTCAGCATTCCTTCCAGCAGTACTGGGATTCTCTTTTCTCCACATCCTTCCCAACACTTGCTGTTTGTTATTTATTAATGATATGCATTCTGGCAGGTGTGAGTTGATACCTCAGGATACAAATTTAATACCTGGAAATTTATGGCATTTTTATACACCAATAATGAACCTTTAGAAAGAGAAACTAAAAAAACAATCACATTTACCATTGTAACAACAACAAAAAAAAGAGATAGAGATACCTGGGAATAAACTTAACCAAGGAGGTAAAAGACCAGTACTCAGAAAACTATATGACATTGGAAAAGGAAATAGAGGAGGACACACAAAAGTGGAAGCATACACCATGTGCATGGACTAGAGTAATTAACATCATTAAAATGTCCATTCTACCCAAAGCAATCTACAGGTTAAACACAATCCCTATTAAAATACAAGTGGCATATTTCACAGATCCACATAGAATATTCCAAAAATTTATATGAAACAAAAAAAGATCCCAAATAGCTGCAAGAATATTCAAAAGGAAGAACAAAGTGTGAGGGATCACAATACCAGATATCCTATATTACATTGTAACCAAAATAGCCTGGTACTGGCACAAGAACAGGCATATAGACGTATGGAACAGAACAGAGACCCCAGAAATCAACCTACACCAATATGGCCAATTAATATTTGCCAAAGATGATAATAGCATACAATGGAATAAAGATAATCTCTTCAATAAATGGTGTTGGGAAAATTGGACAAGTACGTGCAAAAAAATGAAACTAGACCACCAACTTACACCGCACACAAGAATAAACCCAGACTGGATAAAAGACTTAAACATAAGTTGTGAAACCATATAAATCTTAAAAGAAAACATGGGCAGGAAATCTGAGACACCTCAGGTAGCAGTACTTTCACTGATACATCACCTAGGGTAAGGAAAACAAAGGAAAAAATAACAAATGGGACTACATCAAACTAAAAAGCTTCTGCACATCAAAAGAACCCATCAACAAAATGATAAGGGAATCTACGGTATGGGAAAACATATTTGCCAATGACATACCTGATAAGGGTTTAATTTCCAAAATATACAAAGAACTCATATACCTCAATACCAGGAAGACAATCCAATTTAAAAATGGGCAAAGGACCTGAATAGATATAATTCTTATCAGACCATGGGTGGTTACACAGTATTTAAAATTTACACATTTTAAAATTTGGGAACAAATTTCTTCATATCAGCCAAGCTCTATACATTTTGAGGAAGTTAGCATTTTAGTTAGGGAAATTAAATTAATTCAAGGTGAACATGACACAGATCCTGATGTACTTACTATGTGGATCTTATCACCCAAAAAATTCAAATATTTAATGTCATTTTTTATTTCATTAATTCAAAATCCTTTTATGAATATCTACTACTTGCAAGGCCTGTGAGGTCCTTTATATACATGTGAATAATGTCACCTTCCAGAATTGTTTAAGAATTCATCCAAGGTTTCTCCTTAGCCTATTTATTGCTCCATCATGTCTGAACTTGTTTCATATAATAAGCTACAGGTCTCTTTCTCATGCTAACACACATAATAGTGTGTTATTAACTATCCCTTCTTCAACCACTCCAAGATAAAATCAGATAAAATCATATTCAGCTACATTTTTACTTTGTAGTTTTTAACGTTTACATTTTTAATTTTGGACTTTTTAAAAACAAAAGGAAAAGGCCCAGGTGGCGTGGCTCAGTGGTTGAGCATCAACCTATGAACCAGGAGATCACAATTTGATTCCCAGTCAGGGCACATGCCCAGGTTGCAGGCTTGATCCCCAGTGTGGGACGTGCAGGAGGCAGCCAGTCAATGATCCTCTCTCATCATTGATGTTTCTATTTCTCTCCCCCTATCCCTTCTTCTCTGAAATCAATAAAAATATATATTTTTTTAAATAAAGAAAAGAAGCACTGTTCTAACCCAACCCTCGTGTTTCTCCTCCCTGTCTCTCTAGCTCCGAGGTTGGGTGCCCTCTCCCTGCGATCCCATGTGCAAGACGGTGGACTGGGCCCTGGCCGTCTGGCACCAGCTCAACTCCTGCCTGGCCCGCCTGGGCACACCTGAAGCACTTCTTGGGCCAAAGTATTTCCTGTCGTGTCCTGTAGTCCCAGGACATGCCCAAGTGACAGTGAAGTAAGTGTCATTTCACCTTACTTGCCTTTTTAACCTAGAGCCGTGGCTCATTTGTTTGAGAGTGAGAATGCTGGGGGTGCTACCTTGTGCTGTCATCAACATGGAGCGTCAGAGGACAGCTGTGACTTGTCTGTTGGCTCACTCCTAAGGAAACTAAGAGCTAGATAGCAGTTTTCCTCTTCTATAAAACTCTCATCAGAGTCACGTGTGACGAGCTGTGCAGGGTCGCCTGGGGAAGGCCCACATGAGAGATTCAGTCAAGTATCCTGTAACCACACAAACCAAAACCTTACATTCTGTTGATGAATTAAAAGCTTCTGCTATGTCAATGAGACTTAGGTACTGTCCATGCTTTTCTTTGCAGCAGCTTATGAGAACAGACATATAAATAATAAGGTTAATGAAATAGAAAATCAGAATGAAATTGAAAAGGAGAAAAAAACTTGTCACACTCCAGCTTAGTAAGGGTTCTGTGATCAGCTGTCAGCTTTGTTCTGCAATTTCTGGCATCCTGGGCAGAAATCCATTTTAGAAAGCAGGGATGCAAATAATGTATCTTCTTTATTATGAGACAAACTGTCAATTAAAGCCGATTGGGGGAAAGGAAGAATTACCATGTTTAAAATATACACAGCGTTACCTTGCTACAGAGCAGAAATACAGCCCAGCCAGCGGCTCAGTAAGAAGAGAAGCACTGTGCTAGCCCAAGCCCTCGTGTTCTGCTGGCTCAAAGGTCAGGTGCTCTCTCCCTGCGACCCCATGTGCAAGACAGGTGACTGGGTCCTGGCCTCTGGCCCCAGCTCAACTCCTGCCTGGCCCGCTTGGGCACACCTCAAGCACTTCTTAGGCCAAAGTATTTCCTATCTTGTCATCCTGTCTTGTACACCAAAAAGCTTTCAGGTTTGATCCCCGGTCGGGGGTGTACAGGAGGCAGCTGATCATTGCTTCTCTCTCTCCCTTCCTCTCTCTAAAAATCAATAAACATATCCTCAAGTGAGGACTTTAAAAAAGTAAAAATACATTTATAACTCTAACTATGCCCTTTTTCATCAATATTACAATTACAATTAAGCCTTTCACATCCAGAATCTCAAGCTTCTTAGGAGCCAACTTTGGCCTTTCCTATCAGGAGCACAGTCACTGTCAAGAACGAGATTCGTACCCTATTTGCAAGCTAACAAGTTATTCTGCCACAGGTTCAGGGTTCGGGGTCAAAGGCCAAGGAATTCATCCTTCACAACACAGCCCAGCCTAGGCTTCATATTTCACTGATTCCCCGAGCTCCTCAAGTCCCCCTGTGCGGTGCACAGTGACCCAGGTGGATTCTGGCTTTGCAGGAGTCACAGCTGCAGAGCTCCCAGCTTGGGAATCTCCAGGCTTCTAAGGGGGGTGCTGTCAGACCAGCCCACCCTTTGTCCTGGAAGGATACATTCCATTTATTATCCTGGCCAGGACACACATCTGCCCACTGCTCCAGCAGACACGGGCTCTGTCTTCCAAGGCTGCATGCTCTGCTGACACCCTTCGAAAGATAGTCCAGAATAAAGCTGACATACAGTGTGAAATAATGTCGTGGAGAAATGTCTCCCAACAGCCATATGAAAGAACTCATTTAAAAAAAAATTATCATCTTTACCCCTTTAGCACTTGTAGAAGTAACTGTGAAAGTTTGATTTTTTTTCTATATTCTGTATTGTTGGGGTTTTTTGCTTGAATTACATATCACCAGGCAGTAACAGAGAAGCTTATGATAGACAGGTGCATGATACTTGGGTAAGTTTTAACAGTTTTAAAAGGCTTTGAAAAATTTCCTCTTCTGGGAGATGTGGGTTTTGGCTCTATCACCTTAATCAGTTAAGGCTACAACAAAATATAATCTTTTTTTGAAGGAATGTTAATTGGTGTTAGTTACTCCAAATTTGTTCCACTGCTACAGTCATTAATGCAAAGGTCTGCCTGAGGCTGGTTGACCCGTCCCCTTTCTGCAGGACTTTGCCCACCCGAGGGCAGAGACTGAGCCCTGGCCTTGGGGCAGGCAGATATAATTTGCCAGTGATTACAAGGTGGATCCCAGTTTCAGAAATCTATATATTTAAAAGGCTAAGTGACTGGCCGGTATGTGTGATGCACACTGACCACCAGGGAGCAGATGCTCAATGCAGGAGCTACTGAGCAACAGCAACTTCGTAGACTACCCTCTTGCACTTCTGGACCCTTTAGGGGGTGTTGGACTGCCAGTTTGGGGCCGATCCCAGTAGGCCAGGCTGACTGACCCCACTTACCAGAGGGACCCCACTCACTCTGCAGATGCCCTTCAAGCCCCAGAGCTGCCCCAGGTGTGGCTATCCAGGGAGGGACCATGGGAGGTTGGCTCCAGGGTGCATCCCACTCATCTCACCCAATCCCGCCCCACCAGCCACCTTCTAATTAATTTCCTTTCACTGTGCACGAATCCGTGCACTGGACCTCTAGTATTAAAATATTAAAGTACATGTGTGTCTTATTAAGGAAATAAAGCACATAAGTTTTAGCATGTAAACACAGACCTTCAGGCATATTTTTTCCAGACTTTTTCTGTCTATAAATTTACCTTTCTTTCCATGTATTATTTTCTTTTTTAAAAAGTATTTTTATTTAATTTATTGGGGTTACATTGGTTAATAAAACTAGTTTTCAAGTGTACAGTTCTATGATACATCATCTGTAGATTGCATTGTTGTTTACCCAATCTAAAGTCAAATCTCTTTTGATGTATTTTATTCATGCATTCATCCAATGCACACTTGGCATCGATTCCTGATGACAAGGATCTTACAAAGTAAAAGGAGAGGGACATGTAAGCAGTCAGTTTCATTTGAAATGCATTGTATTTATGAGGCAAAGTCAAACTACTTTGGGGTTAGATTATTACACTTGTCCCAGAACTTACCTGGGAAAGCAAGTATATCTTTAGAAACACTTATCTTTTTTATGGTCTTCAAACTGTCCTTTGTAGAGTTGTGTGTAATTCCTGCGCAGCCTGGTACTAACTAGGGGTCCACCCCTCTCTTGCAAGGTGGATGTCCAAGCTGTGGAATGCTGTCATTGCACCCAGAGTTCAAGAAGCAATATTGTCAACAGCCTCAGTGAAAAGACAGCCTGGCCTTGTGCAAACAACTGCCAAGAAGCACCTTAGCCAAGGACAGCGGACTGTGGTGAAAGCTGCTCTCAGCATCTTGCTCAATAAAGCCTTTCTGCGTGGCTGTCCCCTCCAGAGAGCAGGTATGTGGGTTCCTACTGAGAGGAGAGGAAATCTACACTCTTAGGTAAAACTTGTTTACTTTGTTACTAGGGAGCTCTGTTTTTCCTCCTTGTAAATGGAGAAATTATCTCAGCATTAATAAACAGTTCACACCATCAGCCCAGAACTGTCTCTCTGTCTTGCCGTTACTGGCTCATGTTTAAATTATAGGCCTCCAAGTAAGTGTGCTGGGTCACAAAATTCCTGCTTGGGTATTAAGCAGGCCCGTGATTTTGAAGAGTCTTTTTCTTTGAGAATTTTGCCTTGACTATGAAACTGCAATACATGCTGGAGTTTTATAATTATCTCAATTGTGTGTTAGTAAATTGTGATTTTTTTTAAGTGATTGGATACAAAGTCACTGAATAAAATGAGAATTTTACTGCATTATCACTACCTTACTTTTGGCAAAACATGATTTGTGTTGTTTCAGAGCTCCACCAACATGCAGTTGATTTCAAAGGAGGAAGTTTCCCTTTGTTCCTAGTTTCAAGTTACAACAGTTGTAGCAAGAAGAAAGGAGAGAGTGGTGCCTGGAGAAAGGTGAGCACCGGTCCTCACAAGAAGTCTGGCCAGTTCTCTTCCCCCACCTGGAAGAAGCCAGTCCAGAGTGAGAAAGGTAAGAGGGGCCGGCATGCTGTCTAGAGGTACCAGGGCACGGGGTCTAGTTTCTGAATATAAATGTGTTTTTTGTTTTTTTTTCACTGTGCATTCAAAACAAAATTCTGGATATCTCAAAGCACATTTTCATAGAATAAAAAAGTATGTAGTAGGTACATTTTCAAAAATATTTTGGAGCCGCTTTCCTGAAAATAATTTTTCATACTAGAATTCTGATACTAAATTTATCTTTACTGTGTTAGTGATCTTTTTAAAATTATTTGATATTTGTGGTGTCCACATTTAAATTTTTGTAATGCAATAATTGCACTTTGGCATATTTCCCTCCTTTTACGCGTCACCCCTAAGTCAACCTTAAATTTTTAAAAGTATGTGTGCAGACGTATTTGATGCCAGTTAAGACCTTTATATGTGAATTGTTTTGCATATTTCTTTTTCATATGATTTGCCCAGTTCTATTCTAGGCAATGGAAATAGAACACAGAACATAGCGACAGTCCCTGCCCTCATTGAGTTTACAGTCTAATGAATCATTAAACAGACTCTAAATAACGGGATGGCACTTATAGAAAAGAAATACCTAAGTTTTCATCTAACGAAGAAGAGATAACACATTTATCTCTCTCCTTTGGTTTTGATAATAAGATATTTATACAAATTATAAATGTCCTTCCTTAAAGAAAATCCATATTTGGAAAAGATGTTCGAACCTCATCGGCATCGTGGGTTTCTGATACATGTAATTAAGTTTATGTTGTGAGGAGCCACCTGCAACTATTCTGTTTGGTGTCATTATATGCCAACTGTATAGCAGTAGGGTTGCTAAATAGGAGAATACACTTCCTAAAATTTAAAACTAAAACATTTTGTTCATCAATACATTTTCATAGTGTAGCCTACATTTTGATTTTTAAGAAAAAAATTAGTATGGTTTTTAACCATAGTAATACATGCTGGAATTTTATAATTATCCCAATTGTGTTAGGGATTATTTTTTTGAAAAGTGATTGGATAGAAAGTCACTGAATAAAATGAGAATTTTACTTATACTTTTTTGTTTTATGTATTGATAATAGGATACATTCTGATCCCAAGATCTTGTTGTTACTTCCCAAAGAATGTTTAAGTCAGGGAATAAACTCATTAGATTCCAGTCCCCAAATTTATCACAGAGATTCCCCAAGTAACTCTCTGCAGCAAGAATTATACCTCTTACTTATTTATCCCAGTATGGTATAAAAAAGAGTTCTAAGATGAGGATTATCACCTTCATTTACAGATAACAACCAGGATGTTCAGAAACCCTTGGCTACCTGCTCAAAATCCCCTCTCCTGGAGACAGTATTTTTGTTTGTAGTGCAATGCTGTTTTATGACAATCTAATCCTGTGGCACATGTAATAATCCATAAGCACCCAGATAAGTAAACACCCATCAAGACTTTTTTAAAATATATTTTTTATTGATTTCAGAGAGTAAGGGAGAGGAATAGAGAGATAGAAACATCAGTGATGATAGGGAATTATTGATTGGCTGCCTCCTTCATGCCCCCTACTAGGGATTGAGCCCACAACTCGGGCATGCTCCCTTGACTGGAATGGAACCTGGGACCTTTCAGTTCGCAGGCCGATACTCTATCCACTGAGCCAAACTGGCTAGGGCCCATTCAGACTTTTTATTATCCTTTCCAAGTTTATTACAATTTCTATAGGATTTAGGACCAACTTATTTCTTGAGCTAAATAATTACCTAAACAGTAAATCATTGTCAATATTTATACTTGTTGACAAACAAAATCAATAAAATGAATATAAATTTAAAGCAATATTATGGAAATACTAGTAAATCTAACTCAGAAAACTGAATTAGAAATGATTTTTTAATTTATATTTTTGATGATTATAGTTTTAAAGTATTTGACATAATATATGCTTTGAAACATGAAACTTTATTTGAAAGATTTATAAAATTCTAATGTATAGTTTACATGGATTTCAACAAAAAGTTTTATAAAATCTAAAAACTAATTTTACGGAGGGTCAAGATGATGGCATAGATAAACACAGTTTTCTTCTCCTCCCAAAACCACATCAAAATTACAACTAAATTGTAGAACAACTATCATTCAGATCTACCTGAAATCTGGCTGAATGAAGTCCTACAAGTAGAGAATTGAAGAAGCCACATTGAGACTGGTAGGAGGAGAAGGAGGTGTGGAAAGAGCTGGCCCAACACCTACATGTGGTGTTCTTTTAATCAGGAAGAATATCTTGACTGGGGAGATCTATATGAGAAGCAAGGGGTCCAAGCCCCAACCGTTTATGGGAGGCTCCTGTGCTGGGAAGAAAAGTCCTCAAAACTTTGGGCTATAAAAACCAGTGGGGATTGTGGCTGAATGACATGAAAGCTGCTGGAGTCCCAGGCAGTTCCTGCTAAAGGGCCCTTGCATGGACTTACTTGGACTCACTCCCTCTGAGCTCCAGAACTGGGGCAGCAGCTGAAAGGATCCAGGGACATACGGAGAGGAGCTAAATTGTCTGGCATCAGGGCAAGAACTAGTGGGCAGCTTTCTCACAGACAGAAGTACTGGCAGAGGTCATTCATTGTTCCTGTGCTGAGACCTCCCCTGCTACAGACCCAACAGGCAGGCACCATATCTGAGTCTCCATCAACCTGGTCCACACTGTTTGTCCTGTCCTGGTGATTTCCTGAGACCCCATATCACACAGTTTGTGGCTCCACCCAAGCTGTTTACAGTGGCATTTCCACATGAATGGCCTGTCTTGTCTCATGCTTTGGACTTTCCTAAAATCTCTCAAACAAGCAGCAACTGGTGACATCATGCCCCAAATCTCTTGATAAGTGGCCCCAGGCCCGGCACTAGCAGCAGCCTGCCTTGGTTCACAGCTTGGCCTCTCCTGGGCACCTCCAAGCCCAACACAAGTAGCAGCCACTTACACATTGCTTGATAGCTCTTGCCAGGTGGCCCCAAGCAGGATACTGGAACTAGCTGACTTTGCACGTCCCAGGAGGCCTCAGAGCCAGTGCACCCAGTGGTTAGCTTCAGACTGAACCAAATTACAACCCTACCACATCCATGAATGACACACTCAAGGGGTAGACTCAGTGAGCACCAAAGCCCCACTGAAGAAAGTCCTGATCCATAGGGATGACTCCTGCACAGCAGCTCTTCCACTGTAGTACCAGCTGGTCCTCGTAGCCAGTTGCTTTGGGAGTCAATTCCTCTTAGTGATGCCAACAGCAACCAAGGCTCAACTACAATACAACAGTGCACACAGTCCACACAGGGGTGTACCTAGAGTACCTCCTAGCTCAGGAGACTGGGGAGGCTGAGCCCTGGGCCCTACAGGACACCTACTACATACACAAGGCCATTCTACCAATTCCAGGATACAAGGCAGCACTACATAATACATAGAAATAAACACAGGGAAGCAGCCAATGAGAAGACAAAGAAACATATGGAAGCAACCAGTGAGGAGACAAAGAAACATGTCGCAAATGAAAGAACCAAAGAAATCTTCATCAGATAAACTAAATAAAATGTTAGCAAGCAAACTACCAGAGGCAGAATTCAAAACAATGGTTATATGGATGCTCAAGGAAGTTAATGACAATTTCAAGGAACTTAGTGAGAACTTCAAGGAACTTAAACATCAACGACATGGAAAAGGACCAGTCAGAAATGAAGGATACACTAACTGAAATGAAGAATAATTTACAGGGAAGCAACAGGAGAGTAGAAGATGCTGAGAATCATATAAGCAATTTGTAATATGAGGAAGTAAAAAACACCCAATCAGAACAGCAAAAAGAATAATTCAAAAATATGAAAATAGTGTAAGGAGCTTCTGGGACAACTTCAAGCATACCAACATTTGCATCATGGAGGTGCCAGGAGGAGGAGAGAGAGAGAGAGAGAGAGAGAGAGAGAGCAAGATATTGAAAACTTATTTGAAAAAATAATGACAGAAAACATCCCTTACCTGGTGAAAGAACTAGACATACAATTAAATGAAGCACAGAGTCCCAAACAAGATGAACCCAAAGAGACCCCCACACCAAGACACATCACAATTAAAATGCCAAAGGTTAAAGGCAGAATCATAAAAGTGGCAAGAGAAAAGCAGTTAGTTACCTACAAGGGAGCGCCCATACGACTGTCAGCTGATTTCTCAACAGAAACTTTGCCAGCCGGAAGGAAGTGGCAAGAAATATTCAAAGTGATGAATAGCAAGGACCTACAACCTAGATTACTCTACACAGCAAAGCTATCATTTAGAATTGAAGGTCAGATAAAGAGCTTCACAGACAAGAAAAAGTTAAAGGAGTTCATCCCCACCAAACCAATATTACATGAAATGTTAAAGGGTCTTCTTGAAGGAGAAGAAGGAGAAGGAAGAGAGGATCAAAAATATGAACAATAAAATGGCCCTACATACATACCTATCAACAATTGAATCTAAAAATCAAAATAAATGAGCAAGGAATCTAATGGACAAAATAAACTGATGAATAAAATAGAATCAGATGCATGGAAACATGGAACAGACTGACGAATCTTAGAGGGAAGGGGATAGGAGGGACAAGAAGAGATTATCCAAGGAACTTATATGCATACTAGAGGCTCAGTGCACGAAATTCGTGCACTGGGGCAGGGAGAGTCCCTTAGCCTGGCCTGTGCCCTCTCACAGTTCAGGAAAACTAGGGATGTCCGACTGCCATGGAGTTGGGACAGGCTCCTGCCACTGCCACTGCGCTTGCCAGCTGTGAGCTGGGCTCAGGGCTTCTGGCTGAGCAGCACTCCCCCTGTGGGAGCACACTGACCACCAAGGGACAGCTCCTGCATTGAGCTTGGTGGTCAGTGCATGTCATAGCGACTGGTCGTTCTGCCGTTTGGTCAATTTGCATACTAGCCTTTTATTATATAGGATATGCATTAGCTGTGGTCACAGATAATAGGGTGCTGAAGTCTTGGGGTGGGGCAGGATCTGGGTGGAGAGGGTACTGGGGGGCAGGGAGACATCTATAATATGCTCAACAATAAAGATTTTTTAAAAACTAATTTTACAGAGTGAAATTCATGGGCCTTGAATTTTAACCAACATCATGAATAGATGAATAAACCAAAGATTGACATATCTTTCTGTTTATTGTATTTTTTTTATAACAGACATTTGTTTCCCAATAATTGCACTTGATATAGGGTTGATTTGGGGTGGGGTTTTTTACATCGTTTTTTAAAAAAATCAAAATCAGAACCACTCTGCATCCCATGCAGATCGCCATGGAAGATCCTAAAGTTATTAGAGATGCCTCTTTCTTTCCTGACCTCAAACAGAAAAGTACGATGTCAGGTCATAGGCTAATGGACTGCAGGGCCCACATCTGGACACTTTTGGTCATTAGAGGAAGGCACTAGTCAATGCTTTCTGGCAATGACAAAAGTATGAGTAAAGAAACTAGTACAGCCCTAACCAACCGGTTTGGTTCAGTGGATAGAGCGTCGGACTGAAGGGTCCCAGGTTCGATTCTGGTCAAGGGCATGTACCTTGGTTGCGGGCATATCCCCAGTGTAGGGGGTGTACCAGAGGCAGCTGATTGTGTTTCTCTCTCATCGATGTTTCTAACTCTCTATCCCTCTCCCTTCCTCTCTGTAAAAAATCAATAAAATATATTTTTTTAAAAAGAAACTAATACAAGAGATTATGTCTGATTATTGGCTTTTAATAAGGATATATTCAATTTACTTTTCAAAATTATTCTTTAGAGCAGTGGTTGTCAACCTTTCAGACCTCACAGACCACCAGTGGCCTGCAGACCACCAGTTGGCGACCACTGCTTTAGAGATAATGTACACTAGCAATATTCATACAATTTTTAGTTCAATCAGAAGCAACTATAAAGCTTACAAAATTTAGTGTATTATAAAAACAGACTTTTTTTGAGTCTGAAATAGTTTTTAACAGTATTTTCTCAAACTTTTTTTACCATAACCCACAGTAAGAAATATGTTTTACATCATTACCAGTATACGCAAACCTATGCATTTGTGTGTATATATAACTGATACCATCGATATATTTACTGCAAGCAATGCAGTCGGATATTTTCTATTTTATATCTTTTTGTACACTGTTCATATTTCCTTTGCTGTATAATGCATAGCAGTTAAAAGTTAAGTTTCTATAAGTACACTTCTCATGCCACACCCACTGTGATACATTATGGGGGCCCACACATCAGAAACCGCACTTGATCGGCCTGGTCAGTGCTGGAAGGCAAAGGTAGAGAGGGAGCGGCTTGACTAGTGAGAAGAAGGACCATGGATAAAAGCAAAATTTAGGATCCTGAATTGAGCTTCAGGTGGTGTTAGTTGGACTTACTTCAGGGAACCTTCCCCCAGCGGCTGTGCAGGAAGCTACATCTGGAGACTCTGCCCTAAGGAAAACCCCTCAGGAGATGGATTCAGTTAAAAAACAGTTTAGAAGTGCAGTTTAGTCGCGCTGCATAGACCATAGTCTGTTTCTTTCAAATACAGAGTTCAAGATGCACAGGGACAGGGATTCATGCCACTGGAATGATTACATTTTTCCTTGCAGGTATCAAAAGTACAGCAAGATCACAGCTGAACTGTAACAGGAGTGCTTCTCTGTCAAAACAAAAGTAAGTTCCCTTTCAGATTAACTCAGAGCAAACAATACACACTCTCGTTTTAGTTGTGCAACTATTATACTATTAATATAATTTTAAAGCAATTTGTTGAAAAGATTAGAAATATTATTAGCTTCATTTTTATCAAACTTTGACATAAGGATATGGTAAAATCCTGTATTTTTACATTTTAAACAGACTTTAGATGACCGATTCTATTTTTTTTACAACTTTCTGCTGCCCCACCTTCCTCACCTGAATTTTTCCCCAAAGAGCAAACACTGAGTTTTATCCCAAAAAGCAAACCATTTCTAAAGTAATAGTGTTTTATTCCCCCTGGAATTTATTTCTGTTTCTGAATAAAATGCATATGCTTGCTGTTCCTTCATTTACCCGTTTTAGTAGTATCTGTTGTTGCTATCATTGAAGATAAAAACTTGGGAGGTACATTGTTTTTGAGACCAGACATGTCTTGTTTTTATGATTTCACTCTTAGTTTATGTTATCAGGATTATATATGTTTGTGGGTTGGAAATAATTTTCATTTGGAATTTTAGGCCGATGGCTCCATTTTCCTCCAGTTTCCATTTGATTTCTAATGTTTTCATTGCTCCAATCCTCAGAAACCTATTGGACTTTTTAAAGTCTTTATTGTTGAAAGTATTACATGTCCCCCCAAAGTCAAATCTTCTTCTGTCATCTTACATTAGGAGCTCCTTTTCCCCCACCCCTTTCCCTCTGTCAGCCACCACGCTGCTGTTCTTGTTCAGGAGTTTCAGTTTTACATCCCACGTATGATTGAAATCATATGGTTCTTAGCTTTTTCTCACTTACTCATTTCACTTAGCATAACGTTCTCCAGGTCCATCCATGTTGTTGCAAATGGCGCTATTTCATCCTTTCTTATGGCTAATATTCCATTGTGTATATAGACCACATCTTCTTTATCCAGTCCTCTAGCATGGGACACTTTGGTTGTCTCCATATCTTGGCCACCGTGAATAATGCTATAATAAACATATGGGAGCTTATAAAAAAACAAACAAAACCCCCCCCGTATACATTTGAGTACCATTTCCACTTAAGACATATAGATTATTGAAAGCAAGGGAATTGTGGGAATCTCTGAAATGGCCCTCAATAAATGACACTACTGTTTCCCACCCAAGCTTTGAACTAGTTGAGAAATAAAACAAAAAGTTAATATGGAGGTCAGATCATCACCTAGTTGTAGTTTTGATTTGCATTTCCCTAATTGCCTGTGAAGTTGAACATCTCTTCATGTGTCTGTTGGCTGTTTGTATGTCTCTTGGGGAGAGGTGTATTTTCAGGTCCTCTGCCCACTTTTGATTGGGTTGTTTGTTTGGTATTGAGTGTTATGAGTTCTTTTTATATTTTGGAGATTATACCTTTGTCTGAACCACTATTTACATATATCATCTCCCACTGATTTTTTTTAATATATTTTATTGATTTTTTACAGAGAGGAAGGGAGAGAGAGAGAGAGTCAGAAACATCGATGAGAGAGAAACATCAATTAGCTGCCTCCTGCACATCTCCTACTGGGGATGTGACCGCAACCCAGGTACATGCCCTTGACCGGAATTGAACCTGGGACCTTTCAGTCCGCAGGCCGAAGCTCTATCCACTGAGCCAAACCAGTTTCGGCCACTGATTTTTTTTAATGCCAGATTTACAGAAACATATTTGCTTCAGATGTTAAATGTTTACAGTGATAATATTATTTTCTTATTGCTCTTAGAGAATTGTTGATTATTTTAGCTTACAAATTTTGAGGTAAAGAATGATTTGGTTAATCATATACTAGAAATGTTGGGCAGTTTGCAAATAGTAGCCCAATAAATGCTGTGCCCTGTTATTATCAGAGAAATGCATGGATGGCCTTTCTCTGTTGCTAGCAGAAATAGGACCTTTATCATCTCAAGAAAAAGAACTTTGAGACTCACACAGGAGGATGAGTGCTCTTTACTTGTGTAGAGTTACATCTTTTCCAAAGTTCCATTTCCTTAATCTAGTCCTGGAAAATATTCAGCTGGGGATTCAGTGGAGCTAGAAGCACAGCCAGCGTCCAGGTTCCGTTCCATGGTGGAGCTGGGTCTGGTTTAGCAATAGGCTGGTTGCACATTAGTCCATTGTATGGCTCACATAGTCCGTGAGCCACGTGGGCGAGTGCAGGAGCGTGAGAGTCCCACAAGCCAGGAGTCAAGCCCAAGCAAGGAAAAGCTTACAACCCAACAGCAAGAGGGCAAACTCCTTTGTTTAGGGGATTAAATATCCTAAATCTTCTCGGGCCAATGACCTGTTGCCAGGTGTGACTAACAAGCAAGTACTTACCTAAGTCACCCAGACTTTCCTGGGCATGTGTTACACTGCAGCTTCCTGGCAAGGCTGCACGGATGTCATGCCTATAAAATGTGGCCTCCCTTGTTCCTTTCTGTTCATTTGTTACCAGTTAATTACAATGGTATAAAGACGCAACTATTATATTTCATGAGTTGTAATCTCTAGGCCAAAGTAGAATTGACTCTCTTATTTCTTTGCTGAAAATGAATGGAAATACTTATGCCTTGGAAAAATAAGGTAACGGTTAAAATTTTGCAGGTAACAATTAGGACCCTGTCCCTGGTTTACAGAATTACAGACGCAAGGAGAGTGAAGAGAGAGGAGAGAGATAAAGGGAATGGCATCACATGCTTCTTTCTGTGAGGCCTGTTATATATATAATTTTCCCAGTAACTCCATAATGCAGCATAAGGAATCCATTGCAGAAGGGAACCCAGAAACTGAGGTGTTAATCGTTGGGGGGAGCAGAAAATGAATCTGACCCATGGCCACATTGCCAGTAAGTGTTAGAGCCAAATTTGAAATCCTTATTTGTTCCATGGTATCACACTGCCCCCTGCACCACAGTGTATAGTTTCTTAGCTTTATCCAGCATTGGAGACAAGGAAGGAAAGGGAGGATTAAGGAGACAGGAATGTTGTCAGTCAAGACTTCTTTGTGAATAAAATTTGCTCCTATTGAGAATTGTGTGGAGGAGGTATCAAAGTCCTGTGAAAGAGGGTTGTTGCGTTAAATGACATTTAAAAGATTTTTTTAAACAATGTTCCTACCGCACATCAAATCTTAAGACAGGTACAGTGTCTAGATTTTCATATTAGGGGTTGGGTTGTGGCTCTCACTTTAAAAACTCTTTTCTGAACTTTGTGTTGGGTCTTTAGAGAATGACCTGTCATTGAGGTTGGACTTGGATCCAAGACTCTGTCTGGATTCGGATGATGAAGCAGACCTTGTCAAGGAGCTTCAGAGTATGTGCTCCAGCCAATCTGGGTCTGACATGAGCAAGGTAAGCTGCACAAACAGGGAGGGCGTTAAGGGACTCCATCCAGCAGTCGGGAGACTTCTTGGAGCTACATTATAATGCTCATTCCCTGAAAGAAGTCCCTTAGGGAACAGCGTGGTTAATGCTCCAGATCAGAGCAGCGCTTGCCTTGCTCTGAAAAACCCTTTTTTCCAAAATATTATTTATGCAATAGGGATCTCCATTTAAGCACAGATTGCTTTTCTAAACTCTGAAAAACCTGAAGCTAAAATTGCATGTGTTCATTATAGCTCAAATCACACCAGCACCTTCGGTGCAGCATTGGTTTAAGTCTGTTCGTTTCCTCAGGCTTTTCCCTAACGTTGGCAGCAAGTCATCTATCAGTAAGAGCATCACAGAAGGCAGAGCAACTGCAACCACTTTCCTTACAAATAAGAAACATAATTGGCCTGTATCATGTCCATAGTCATAGTCTTTATGCTGTGAAAAGTGAGATGCAGGTATGGGTATGTATCAGTGACCCACAGTCTGAAGGAAGGCATTAATAGCATAAAGTGCAGCCTGTTTCGGCATGCCGATATCTGCAGCCGATTGGACCAAAGTTCCTCGATAAATGCCTTTAAGTTGAGAGGGAGCATAACTTGTGCAGCTTCCACTGAAAGACTCAACTATAATATTTAATGAGTTGTAATCTCTAGGCCAAAGTAGCATTGACTCTCTTATTTAACTTTGCTGAAAATGAACTGAAATACTTATGCCCTGGGAAAATAAGGTAACGATTAGAATTTTGCAGTTTTTATATCCTTTCGTTTTTTTGCTAAGTGATTTTATTTTTCTTTAGGGCTCATTTGGTCATTTTTGTACTTTTTAAGTAGGCACTCCTCCCTTAGGGCAGTGGTTCTCAACCTTGGCTGCACATTAGAATCACCTGGGAATCTTGTTAAAATCCTGATTTCTGGGCCTCATCCTCCAGAAATTCTGTTTCTTTGTGATGGGGTAGAGCCACAATATTAGTAAGAAAGAAACAGAATTTTCAGAGGATGAGGCCCAGAAATCAGGATTTTAACAAGATTCCCAGGTGATTCTAATGTGCAGCCAAGGCTGAGAACCACTGCCTTGGGGCATGTTTCTCCTGCGTTTGCTGTTAACTCACATGAAGGCTTCAGTCTGCCATGGGAACAGCACAGGATTGAGGGTACGTTCTGCAGAGCTCCTGTCCGTAGATGGAAGAAGAGGAAGAGAACACTTCTGCTGCTGCTTTCCATTGACTTTAAGTTGTGCCTTGAGTGTGACAGTCTAACTGTGAAAACACAACTTGATTCATAGTATATTTTCCAGATTGCAGATTCCAGGGATGATTTAAGGAGATTTGATAGTCCAGGAAACAACCCTACTTTTTCACCAGCTGTTCATAATCTAAGAATGCCAGTGTCACAAAAGGTAAGTGTTCATTTGCCCCCAGAATCAGACAAACATGGATAGCTTCAGAATTGACTTCACAAACCTTCTTTCAATGTGAATCACAAAGTTATTTTTAAAGCACAGCTATGAAGTGAGAAATAGGATAGAGGTCAATATGTTAATTAGTTAAGCAAAGTTGTAAAGCTTACTGTTTAGATAATAACTTGAAAGAATGACCAGAAAAGCATTACTTTTAATCCTCACCTGAGAACATGCTTTTTTGTTTGTTTTGTTTTTTGTGAATCCTCACCCAAGGTTATTTTTCCATTCATTTTTATAGGGAGAGTGGAAGAGAGAGGGAAACACAGAGAAAAACATCGAGGTGAGAGAAGCACATCAATTGGTTGCCTCCTGCACAAGCTCTGACCAGGGCCTGGGCCGGGGAGGAGCCTGCAACCCAGATACCATTGCCCTTGTAGGGTTGTTTCCTGGACTATCAAGTCTCCTTAAGTCATCTCTGGAATCTGCAGTCTGCCCTTGACCGGAATCAAACCTGGGACCCGTTGGTCCGCAGGCTGACACTCTATCCACTGAGCCAAACCGGTTAGGGCCGCAGCAGTACTTTTTGTTAACTTCTGTTTGAGACCTAAAATTATATTCCAAAATGTGGGGTGTCTTTTGAGAAGGTCTCCATTTGTTTTCATTTGTGTCTGGGTTGCTTCATTTTAAAATGTATTGTTTTTATTTTCATTTGAGAACTTTTATGATTTACTGCATTTTGGAATTTTAAAGTTAATTACAGCAAAGGGCAGAGCAATTAATATAAAGATATTTTATGTTTAAAAAAATCTTATTTTTAGCTTAGTTTCTTAACTTGCCTGAACATGCATCATGTTTCATTGAGAGACTTTCCTTTAAAAACAAGTCAGAATGACACCTAGAAGAGCCAGGATTCCAGAAGACTTCATCATTTACCTCTCTAAATAACTTCCACAATTGGTTTAATAAATTCCAAGAGGCGGACCAGCATGGTACTCCTGGGTGAACAGAAACAATAAAACTATTTCTCAGCCAGGAGCTATTTTGTGCGGGTGCTGGTCTTGCAGAGGCATTTAGTAATATGTGGTTTGCTCACCAAGCCATGTCAATTGGGGCTCACACCCTGTTCTCATCCACTCCCCTGTGGCTTCCAGAGGCCTCTCTTCAGTGCAGAGTGGGACTATAAAGTGAGGGTGGTGAGACTATTCCATTATGAATCCTTATCCGATCACCTGGCAGCCTGGGCCCCTGTTCTCACTGCTTCACTAGGCTTCGGTTCTGATGAGTTATATGTGAAACTATGTGAGCTGTGTGCATTGGGGGAAGAGGTGGGGGCCAGGAGGTAGTGGCAAGGCTGAGTCCCACATAAAAATGCATAACATGATGACCTGTAAAGACGAACATGCCCTTTCTGGCTCACCTCATCATCCGTCTGCTTTTTTCTTTGTCTTCAATCGGGAACAGTTTGGAAGCACAGCAAAAGCTTGATTTGGAGAGCGCGTAAGGGAGGATGATCTGAGGAGGTAGCCGGAGGCACTGCTGAGAATTCTGGCTAGAAAATACTTGTTCAGGAGCTGTCCCTGAGCTTTGGCTGGGAGCACATTTCTTGGTGTGCCACGCCCACTCTTTAGGATTCCTTGTGCAATAGCCAGTGGAAGGAGCCATGAAGGTCTAGGAAGAGCAACAAGGAGTCACTGTTTCTCCACAGGCCAAGTCACTTTCTGTATAAAAATGTTGACTGGTAGTGACCAGCTGCCTTTGTTTCAGTGTCAAATGGAGACCCCGTTTTGTACCTCTGCCTCCCTGTCACATGACCCTGTTCAGTTGCTACCATAAGGTAACTAACTATCCATCCAAAATAGTACTGCAAGTGGGATAAGTTCTGGGCAGCTCAGGACAGCTTTGTTTTACTAGGAAAAGGGATATTTTTTGAAAAGTATCCTTTTATACTCGCTGGACTCATAAAAAGAAACGAGTCAGGTGGTTGTTTAAATGTGATTTGATGTGGGTGGACATTAGGGCAGTGACCCACAGACCACATTTGGAGGGACTTCCCCAATGGCTGGAAGATGTATTTCTAAGGACCTGTCAGCAGAGGGCAGAGTAGCACGCGGCACCCTTCTGACAGCTTGGCAGGCTCGCTCCCTTTCTATCCTCACCTGGCATTTCTTGGTTAGAGGCCCAGCTTCTTCTGTTATCAGGAAGCAATTCCCTTTAGAAGAGCTCTCTGGCTTGCTTGGAATCATTTCTACTGTGCGGCCACCATTTTACACTGAAAGACATGAGTGAGTAAATTACCCTCCTACTCCTCATTTGCTGTAATATAACGCATTACTGCTCCAGCAAAGAGAGCACAGTGGGCTTCGTTAATTGCATGGCATGTTGGCCACCCTTCTAAATTTTTTTTTACATGCAAACATTTAAATCAATAGAATGAGCAGGTACTAACGAATATTTTCTTCTCATGAAAATGCAAATAAATCCCCCTAAAGCAAAAGTTCTTATCTTTGGCTACCTAAGGAAATTTGTTTGCTATGCTTTTAATCCCCAGTTCCCAAAAGGTTCCGATGTAATTGATCTGAGGTACAACCTGGACATGAATTTTCTAAAGCTCCCTGGTGATTCTTACGTGCAGCTGGGGCTTGGTTAGACCCATGGCTCTAAAGCATAGCTCTGCTCTGTTATCCTTATTTCCCACCCCATTCCTTTGGGTCCTCCCAAATGCATCTTTAGAAAGGTTGCTGTACCTTCATGTAACTTATTTCTACCTGTAATTTACTGTTCCCACACCTACACTTCTTCATGTCCCTTCTACCCAGGGAACTCTTCTCTCCTCTTCCCCTGTCACAGCCCTCTACGTCCTTGAAGCACCATCTCCAATGCCCTTTCCCCTCTAGAAAGCAGAGATTATAGCAGCCTTTTCGCTTTCAGCAGATGCTCAGGATTGAGTGAATGAATGGTTCTGAGTTAACAATATTTTGTTAAGGCTCTTTATGGACACTGCCTTCCTAGTGCACACAACATTATTAATAGTAACTTTATATGTTTCACACAGAGGACTCGGGTTTTAGTGCAGGAAGCATTAAACACCATTAACTTTCCCAGTCCTGGGCTCTGGTACTTCTTAGCTTTGGGGAAAACACCTCGAACCCTGTGCTCGGCTGCCAGGGTGGAAGGAACATGGCTCTGGGTTCTGGTCTTACACTCTCAGCCTTGAATGGATTCATTAGCCTCACTGAGCCAGTGGTTCTCCACGCTCTCATCCCACCTCCTCCTGTTCTGTCCTCACACCTCCAAGGACTGACGCAGACCCACATTCCTATGCTCAGCTTCAACACCCAAACCACGTTTCTAGTTGTGGGTGCTTCTTGGTACTTCATTCACGGGGGCATTTCCCGCCTCAGACCATAAAGATGCACACCCACCCCTTACCTCTCCACCCTGCACCCCCACTGCATGATGCAGATTAGGAGGCAGACAAGGATACCCTGAGTGCCTTCCCTCTGCCTGGGCCCTGGCACTACCTCTGTGGACTTCCAGAGGGAGGTCAAAGATTGTAGCGAAATTATTTATGGTTACACCTGCCTCTCTTCCTCATGAGTTCTGTATACCAATCGCTATCCATATGCCCTGTCTTCTGAATACTCTGTGTGCTGAATTTGCTGGTGTTTTAGACCGACTTACACATTGGGATGGGCCTTCGTAGGCCCACAACTAAGTCACATTTCACAGATTTCAGAAGACACGCAGGAGAATCCAACTCCCAGCTCAGGCCCAATTGTTACTTTCCATTAAGTATTTTGCCTGTTAAATTCTAGTTTTGCGTGTTAAATCTTTTAAAGATTACCTTGCTGGTAGTTATGTTATTGCTTTTAAATTTAAAAAAGGGGAAAGTAATCAGTGTCAACTGCTTCAGAGGCCGTGGAGTGGCTCACTTAGCAACTCACTTCACATTTGCTGGTTGGCAGGACTTCACACACTAGAGGGGCAGACACCTTGAGTGAACTTTAGGAGCCGGAGGCCTTGTCCCAGCTTCATCACTCTGTGGCTGTGGGCAGGCAGTCTTACCTGTCCGCTCTCCGTTCCCTCCTGGGCAAAGAGAGAGACGTGGACCATGGCTCATCCTCATGAGAGTTCTGGAACCAACACTGGCGAGACGAGAGCAAGCCTGGACGGTCTGGAGGCACCGAGTCATGGGATTGCTGCGCAGAAGCGTCACTCACCATGTCCGCTCCATTAGGGCAAGGACATCTCTCTTTCGTGTTCGCTGCCTGAATGCCAAGCACTTAGTCCAGTGCTCATCTGCTGGTGAAATGCTCCAAAAATATTTGTTGATTATTGAGTAGTAATCCAGGTTTTAGTTTGCAGATCTGAACGTGGAAAGCAGAAAAGTTAGGCGCCTCCCTCAGAAAAGGGAGGTGATTTGTACAGCTGCCTACCAATAGTTCGGTCCCAGTTGATCATTTCTATGAAACTCCTGTTGGTGAGGAGATCCAGGTTCTGGCACTTGACTCACTGACTCCTGCATCTCGTTTGTGACAGCACCAAGGGCCTGATGGAAATCTGTGGGAAGTTAGTCATGCAGCTTCGTCAATTGCCATTGCCTTTTCTCATGAGAACGCTGTGTAGGGAGGAGCTTCTGCATGGGTCCTCCGAAAGAGAGAGAGGAGAACGTGCTCCGACTGGCAATGAAAGTTGGTAGCAGCTTCAAATGTGACAAATTTCTTTTGTTCCTTTTCTCCGACAGGTCAGTCCTCTCAGCAGCCATCAAACCACCGAATGCAGCAACAGTAAATCAAAGACTGAGTTGGGTGATTCAAGAGTTACATCTTTCCTTCCTGTTCCTAGAAGTGAAGTTACACAGTGTTCCCAGAACACCAAAAGAAGCAGCAGCAGCAGTAATACAAGGCAAATAGAAATAAACAACAACTCAAAAAACGAGATTTGGAACTTACACACAAAATGAACACATAGAAAAATCTAACAACTAGGCCTGCCTACAATATTCTCACTCTTAACTTCTGTAAATTTCAAACAGAAACCAAGGACAACAAGATGTAAATACCTTCAAATGAATAAAATATTTTCACATAATATGAAGTATGAGTGCAGGACCACTATTCATTTTTTTGTAAAGAATGTATTTATAACCAATAATTTGTTGCTTTTTTTCATTTCTGTAAGATTGAACTTCAATATCAAGAAGTAATGCCAACTTTTCAAGTAGTTTTATAATAGAATTATTGTAATAGTTTTAATCAACATGTTCAGGGAGTATTAAAACAAAACTGTGTGTACTGTATACCTATATAATGTATATCTAAATATGTATATATTTAAGAAAGTCAAGGAATCATATTGCATCCTAAAAGTTACAAACTGTGTACAGTGTTGGCTTTGATAAAGTACCATTTTAAATGGAGATCATAATTTTATGTTCACTTGATGAGGAATGACTCAGAATGAGGCAATAACTAATCATTTCTAAACAATTACTTTCCATTAAAAGCCATATTAAGTATTTTGCCTGTTAAATTCTAGTTTTATGTTTTAAATCTTTTAATAGTTACATTGCTGATTGGTTTATCATGTATATTTATGCTTATGAGTTTGCATTATGACTGTAAAATACAAAATTATATAATGCAATAAAATGTTATTCTTTCTTATAAAAGTTTTGTACCTAAGTGGATATGAAAAAGATTACATAAGTGCTTCAATAAATTAATCCAAGAGTTAACTCCCTTTTCAATTTAATTCTGGTAGCATAACTGATATTTTTTAGAACTGTTTCTTCTAAAATTAATGAAATTACTCTTACTAATACAAATCAAAGTTAAGATGCTTTGACATCAAATAAAATATTGAATTAGAGCCTGGCCAGTGTGGCTCAGTAGTAGAGCATTGACCTATGAACCAGGAGGTCATGGTTCGATTCTGGTCAGGACACATGCCCTGGTTTCGTGCTCAATCCCCAGTATGGAGCATACAGGAGGCAGCTGATCAATGAGTCTCTCTTACTATTGATGTTTCTTTCTCTCTCTCCCTCCCTTCCTCTCTCTCTAAAATCAATAAAAAACATTTTTAAATATTTTCAAAAATACTGAATTAGTGAAATAATTTTGCTGTAGTTTCTATCAATAGCTCATAGTAACTTGTCCCTGCAATAATAGATATTTGTGTTCCAACTTAGGGACATTCATGAAATGTGTCCTACATGTTAGTATTTTACTAGCTGCTCACAAAAGGGCCCACCCGTTTTAGATAGTGGGTTTAAATAAAAATAAACATTTAAATCAAGCTCTAAAAATAAGGTGCTCACTGAACAAGCCACCTTCCTTTTTTTTTTCTTAGGTATCCCCCAAAAAGTATGATTTTATACTAAGAATAATTTATTTGTCTTAAAAGTATTGAAAGCCCTTTCTTGGTCAGAATGATTTACACTGAAGTACACATATGTGCATTGGTACTGTATTAAACTCTTAAGGAATGTCTGCAAGTATCTTTAAAAAAGTCAAAATGTGTAGTCAAGATTATGCCATACATAAGGGGTGACGTGGAAGAAAATCTATCAGGGAAGAATTCTAACAATGTCAGCATTTTGCCTGGGCATTACCTCTGCAAGGAGAATCTTGGAGTATATAGCTCGAACTGCATGTATAGAGAAGTGGGCAGTGAGATGGATGGGGTGTGGGGTGGCTAGAGTAAGGGACAAGGTGGGTGGATAGAAGAGACTGGAAGGAAATAGTCTTAGCTTAATGACTAGGCACTATGTTTTATACTAGAGGCCAGGTGCACAAAAATTTGTGCACTCGGGCGGGTGGGGGGGTCACTCAGCCCGGCCTGTGCCCTCTGGCAGTCTGGGACCCCTCGGAGGATGTCCACCTGCTGGCTTAGGCTCACTCCCTGGGAGATTGGGCCCAAGCTGGCAGTCAGACATCCCTCTTGCAGTCCAGCAGCCCTCGGGGGATGTCCATTTATAAGCAGGGAGCAGACCTCAACTGCAGTCAGACATCCTTAGTGCTGCTGTGGAGG